CTTGGCTTTCTAGAAAGAATGTTGTTATGGCTACATAATATCTAACTCCGTACAATCCCCCCTCCCATTTTCCCACAATAGAAAATGCACAGTAGAATTGTAGAAAGTGTGGCAGGCCAAAGACCCAAAAGAAAAGATGGCTACAGGCCTGACACCAAAGCTCTTATTTCCAGCTTTGTTAAACTTCCTTTCTGGGCGGGGGAGGGGTGGGAGGAGGAGTTAATTGACAGGGATCTCTGAAATAAAGTTGCCCAGCATCCCAACCCAGAATCAGAGGCAGACGTTTACTTCGTTCCTGCTTCTCTCTCTCCCCAGTCCTTTGTATTTTGGAGAATTGATCTGTTTCAATTCATCTTGAAGATCCTGGAGTTGATAAGAAATGTTAAACTGACTATGTCAACTGCAGACAAAGAAAACTTGTATAAAATGTTTTCTAGATGGCACTTTGCCACCAGCAAGATTGGCTAAGATGTATAAAAACAGATCTGCTAAATGTTGGAAATGCAAGCAATCAATAGGTTTCCGTGATCATATGTGGTGGACATGCCCAAAAGTTTAAAAAATTTGGTTGGAAAAAAAAATGATAAAGCAGCACTTTGATTTGAAGCCTGAAATATTTCTGTTGGGCATTCTACCGGAAAAAAATATGATAAAAAGAGTATGCATCTGGTACTACATATATTAACAGCAGCTAGGATTGTGTTTGAGCAACATTGGAAAAATGGTGAAATACCGTCAGATGAAAGTGTCATTAAGAAAATACTCGACTGTGCAGAAATGGATAGACTAACGCTTATTATTAAAGAAGTCCGGACTCCAGGACCGGCCCAAGTTCCTCCCCAACCTCCACACTGTCAGACTCTGCTGCAGGCCGCCAATGGACCACAACAATCTGATCTCCCAAACACTGTTTTCATTTCCAGACCTAAACCCTTTCTTTTTTTTTCCTTTTTCATCAGAAGCTGAGGTCTCTTATTTTTCTCTCCCTTCTTTCTCTCTTCCCCCTCGTTCTCCGCCCACCCCGCCCTTCCTCCAGGTACAGGAGAAGCTCCTCTTGTCAGCCTGCCATCTGCTCGTCTCCTTAGCCACCACTGTGAGGCCCGTGTTTCTAATTAGCATCCCAACCGTGCAGAAAATGTTCAACAGGATAACCGACAGCTCTGCTCAACGCCTTTCGGATAAGGTGAGGAGGACTTTGGGGACCCAACTCAGGCATCTCATTCCGGTCAGTTTCAAACTCTCTTGTTCCTGAAACAAAATCCCAGGAAGGGATTTGTTCCATTTGTCTGGAACCTGTGTAGTCAAGAGCTGTAGTCTCATGCTTGAGGAGGGGGTTGGACTAGAAGACCTCCCAGGTCCCTTCCAACTCTGTTTATTTTTGTATTCTGCAATACCATAACTGTCAACTCGCAAAGCAATCATGGTCTGCTCTTGAGTTGCCATGGGCAGGAAGGGGGGAGAACTGATGGAGCAGTTCAGCAACCACAGACAGAAGCACATTCCATGGCTACCTTCTTCAAAGAAGGTCTCAGATTACCAGAGTTGGCCTGAAAGGCGTGGTTTTTACAGCCCGTGAAAGTGCCTCATTGGACAATGTGATTAATGACACACTCTGGGAGATTGGGGGGGGGGGAACAGGGTCATAGTTGAACCATAAATCACTTGGAGTCAGAGCTGATTTCACTCGGGTAAGTGCTGACATGTTGTTCCTAATAAATAACTGGGTTTCTTTTGAAATCCAGCTCAAGGCTCATGAGTTAATTAGGGCCTCCGTGGGAACCCTGACAATAACCTTCTGACAATAGTCAAAGAGCAACTCCTAGTTCAGGGGTGTCAAACTCAATTTCATTGAGGGCCGCATCAGGGTTGTGTTTGACCTCCAGGGGCTGGAGTGGGGGTGGCCAGCTTGACATCACTCGTGTCTGTGGCTGTGGTGGCCCGAGCATTCTGCCAGCAAAAACGAACTCCCGAGCTCTGTTTTCGGCTGCGACAGCCTCCTGCAACACTCTGCGGCCCTCCTGAGCCCCATTTTCTCTGGTAGAGGCACTGCAGGCCAGTCCTTCGTTGTTTCCAGGGCAGCCCCGCAGGACAGATTTAAGCATCCTACGGGCCACATCCACGCCGCCCCCCTCCAGGCCTTGAATTTGACACCCCTGTCCTAGTTGCACGATCTTTCTTCTTCTCTTCCTCTCTCTGGCCTTCAGCTTGGTTGATCTTCCTCTCTGCAGGCCCAAATCCTCCTGTGCAGATCCCTGTCAAACATCTTGCTCCTCCCGTGGCCAAACCTCCCGGAGGCTGAACAGCAATGGGCCATTCGTTCAACTAACCATGCCAGCCTCATATCGGCCCTCACCAGGGATTACCGCAGCCTGAAATCCAGTGCCAACTTGCCCCAGAGGAAAAATCAGCAGGACAATAGTAAGTCACCCCAGCGCAGGTTTTTTTTAAGTAGTCATAAACACGGAGAAAATTGGGGACAAAGGTAATTTTTTGAGATCAGGTCCCCGTTTAGAGGTGGCTGAAAATTGCTACTGAATTCCTGGCAGTTTGCTGGAGCAGCCCTCTGTTTTTAGGCTGTACATACTGGTATTTGTTTCTTCCTTCCTGCTGTATTTAAATTACTATAAGGGAGCATTTTCCCTAGGTTGTCCCAAGAAAAGCAACGTTTTTACTCAGAATTCAAAGTGCTAAACTTAAAACGAGGGAGGCGGTGGCTCAGTGGTTAAGATGTTGAGCTTGTCGATCAGAAAGGTCAGTAGTTCGGCGGTTCAAATCCCTAGCGACGCATAACGGAGTGAGCTCCCGTTACCTGTCCCAGCTTCTGCCAACCTAGCAGTTCGAAAGGACGTAAAAAATGCAAGTAGAAAAATAGGAACCACCTTTGGTGGGAAGGGAACAGCGTTCCGTGTGCCTTCGGCGTTGAGTCATGCTGGCCACATGACCACAGAGATGTCTTCGGATAGTGCTGGCTCTTCGGCTTTGAAACGGAGATGAGCACCGCCCCCTAGAGCTGGAAACGACTAGCACATATGTGCGAGGGGAACCTTTTTACCTTTGCCTTTTAAACTTAGAACTCAGAACTGAAATCTAGTTAAATGAAAAGAACAACTAGGGATGACATGATAGCAGTGTTCTAATATTTGAGGGGCTGCCACAAAAAAGGAAAAGTCAAGCTATTCTCCAAAGCACCTGAAGGCAAGGCAAGAAGTAACAGGTGGAAACTTATCAAGGAGAGATACAACCTAGAAATTAGGGAGAAATTTCCTGACAGAACAATTAATCAGTGGAATGATTTGGCTTCCAGAAGTTGTGAGTGCTTCATCACTGGAGGCTTTTAAAGAAGAGACTAGACAGCCTTTTGTCAGGAATAGTATAGGGTTTCCTGCTTCAGCAGGGGGTTGGACTAGAAGACCTCCAGTGACCTTTCTATCTCTCTTATTCTGTATTCAGATTCTCAAGCAAAAAAATCCAGCCCAGATTTAAACTCGAAGCTACATTTTACAGCTAGCACCTCCCCACCCCTTTGTAGATATTCTGGAGATTGCACAAGAAATGTGTGGGGATAGGATAGGATAGGATAACAGAATGGAATGGAACGGAATGAAGGATGAATTGAATAGAATAGAATGCTAGATAGGATAGAACACAACACAACACTCCAGAAGTTTTGAATGCTCCAACACTGGAAGTCTTTAAGAAGATGTTGGATAGCAATCTGTC